ATTGACAACTTAAGAAAAATAGTACATTACATGATTTATAATGTAAAAATTAATAAATAAAATAAAAGACTTGGTTATCAATGTAAAAATTAATAAAATGCCTACAAATTTTGGAAAAAACACTTTAATTTATTATATGCCCAAAGGGGAACAAAATTAGCTCAAGAAGGGATAACTATTATATGGCCCAAGAGCGGATTCGAACTTGAGATGTGAAAACAAATAACATTAGTGATAACCATCATGCCTCCTTAACATATGTGTTTAAATTGCCTATTAATAGCATATATTTACATTATGTTTTCATTTAATGATGTTTGGAAATTATCTTACATCGAAGGATGAGTATTCAAATATGCTATATAAATAACTATGTAATTGGAAGATTAATGCAAGTGTGAAAACACTAGGGCATCAGTGCAAATGCACACGTGCATGTGCGTGTCGCACGCGTGGCACATGTGGGAGTGGTGTGCGTCGCACGTGTGATGTGTACGTGTATGTGCGTGTCGCACGTGTGTCACATGTGGGAGTGGTGTGTGTTGCACATGTGGCACATGTGGAACTGGTGTGTGTTGCACGTGTGACATGTACACACGTACACACGTGTGGGAGTGGACGCGTCACACATGTGGGAGTGGTGCGTGTAGCACGTGCGATGCACACACGTGCGTGCACGTGCGTGTGGCACGTGTGGAAGTGTGTACGGCTCGTGTCACACGTACACACGTGTGTGAGTGGTGTGTGTGGCGCGCGAGACGCGTACACACGTGTGAAGGCTAGAATCGAGAAGGAACCAGCTAGAACCGGGTGGGAACCGGCTAGAACCGGGTGGGAACCGGCTAGAACCGAGAGGGAACCACTAGAACCGGGAGGGAACAGACGGTTTTGCTCTGGAACCGGGCGGTTCCCGGTTTTGTGCTGGAACCGGCACGGCCTGTGCCGATTCCCGAGTCGAACCGGGCGAGTCTGGTTCGACTCGGCGATTTTTAAATCATTGGTATGTACCTTATATTATGTATGATATTATGTACTTATTGTTTGGGTAGACAGATTTTCAATCTCTCTCTGCCTTAAACAAATAGCACCAGACATGATAAAGTTACAGTGAGTGAAGTACAAACAACTTTTCAAAAAGACAAATTTATATGGGGAATTGCATACAAGTTTATCTCAGATGATTTTATGTTGGTCATTCCTAAAAAAGAGATGACTAGTTATCAAGATTAGTTTTATTGAATTTGTGAATTATCAGTTTTAACAAGTACATCCAAATATACGCTAAAAGCAGGTAGCAATTTCGGTGATGAGCTACCAAATAAGGCTCCAATGATTTAACCTCTCTCTCTCTCTCTCTCTCTCACACACACACACACACACATATGGCATAGGGTGCCTAAGCACCCACCTAGGCTAGCTAAGTAGGTACCTATAGGCCATGTCTAGGGAGGGCACTGAGGGCCACACCGCATTGCCTAGGTGCCCTATTTTTTAAAGCACTGATTAATCTTGCACTCCTACAAGTAGTATTTTGCTTTTCTGGGGCCCCTGGTTCTACTCCTGGAAAAGGATACATAATGCCTATCCCATCTTGAGGTGGTCACTGGTGGAGCTACTCTGTGTATTTTTTGGAAAAGGCGATGTAGTCAAGTCATAGTCATGTATAACTCGCCTTCTAGCATTATTTAAAAACATGCACAATGAGAAGTCTATAGCCTGAAAGTCCTATAAACAATGTAAAAATTGGAGGGTCATGATAAGAACTGAACTTGGAAATAGCGAAAGTCCCTACAGTGAACCGAATGAGACAACGATTTGCTATAGTGAGAACCGCCTGATTCTGAACAAGCCCGGCAATTCCACCTCTTCACAACCATCCGGGATCGGACTCTAATAGGCCCAAGCCAACTCAGGCAATTCCGAGT